TTCTTGTCTTCGACAATAAACCTATATAAGCAAACCAGTTAATTGGCGCAAGACCGAAGTTTATCGCGACAGGACACTGATGTCGAACTGATCATGTGAAAACAACCCTTTTGAGGTAAAAAGAGAGACAAAACCCAATTCTTTACAAGTTGGGTTACTTTGCTTTCAACCTAACTATCGCTGAGACAAAAAGATATCAGACTGACTTCCAAGAAACAGAAAACGGTCCGTTGGAAAGTCACCAGACTGGCGTCAGGATAAGCTGAAGAAGTTCACTGGATCGAGATAGATAGGAATCAAGAGAAAAAACAGAAGTTTATGGCAGACTCTTGGAAATTCCGTCATACATCAATCCATCGACAAGGGCTCATGATGAAAATCACAGAGTGGATGAGTGGAAGGAGATATATTTATAAATTCGATGACTCGCAACGCGGATCTTATGAAAAAAATTCTCTTGAGAGAATTTGTTTTTTCTCGTCTCTCGTGCTGCAAATCGTGGATCAAAAGACGCATACATCGAATAGTGTATTTAATCATACCAAAAACTTAGTATTTCGATCCGCTCCAGGAGTTAGTAGTTTCAATAGTAGGACTGATACCGAAAATACTATTTGTACAAAGTACATATTGGTGATGGTTACATTAGAAAACACACCGGTATTTATAGTAGTAGTACTTTTGCCACTATGTCTGAATACGCACTTGATAGAAGTAATTCTTTTAAGAATGGTAACAATAACGTCAACAATGTTTCTGCTACCATTAGTAGCACTATAGACAATACTCAATTTACGCTTAGCCGCTTTTAGCTAATACTAATAGCGCTTCTTAATGATCGTCGACTGAAACCCACGCGTACACACCAGGCTGCTTTGTCGCTCTCCGCGACAGTCAGAGAATTAATGATCATATCAAAAGCCGGTGAAGCAGCGTTTGGGGGAGGGGAGGGGGAGGGGGAGAAGGCAGAACACGCGAGGATTCGCGGGCATGTTATGACCAGCGGGATTCGTTACGGCTAAGAGGCCGGTACAAAAGATCCAAGTAATGCTAGTGTTTTTTTCTTTAAAGCAGAGTTAATCCCCTAGTGCATTACTAAGTACTCTGTGCGAACTAGCTTTTTAGTCAGTAGAACTAGTGACGCGTGATTCACTATCATAAGGGACAACTAATTAATCCTTTTAAAAACAGGACTAATAAAACATGTATGACTACCAACACAAAAAAACTATCGTAAAAATCGCCCACATTTTTAAAATACCAAACTAAGAAACACTGCTGCATATTCTTTACGCTGTGCGTGTATAGTTCTTCAACAAGATAATCTTCACGTAGAAATATTTAAAAATTGTCCAACGTTTCAAAATAACAAGACATCCTTCTTCAGGGAAAATATCACATAAACGCATTAAAGGTCTGCGGCAGCTGTGCAACTTTTTTCTGCAAAATAGGACAACATGATCTGCGTACTTCAGTCTAGCATTTCAGCGCTGCCCTCATATGTAATTCTTCACTATCACTATAATCCGCACTCATTGAGACCGAATTCGCGGTTAGATTCACTGAGGATATTTAACCACAAAAAGTGCATCACCAAACAAGTGCCTCCAACCCTCGAAAAAACTAGGAGGAAAAACCACATTGCCGGTATTCTTTCCACGTACAAACTTATAAGATGCATTCAGGTAAATCCCCAAAGTCAGCAAGCAAAGACATCAGTCAATACCTTCTAACCATTCCCATGAGTAACGATTTCTCTTTACCTCATCTAAGATTAATTTTCTACAATAAGTGGATTAACTCTGATTAACATTGCTCATCTCTTGCATTCTACCCAGGCAGAAAGCTCTAGACGAGCGACATGTGTACAGAAGTACTGTATCTCAAAACTACAGGTAAAACGTAACTCCTGATGAAACAGAACTTACTGGTGACAACGATCGCGACTGAAGACCGCATTGAAATACTGCGTTTCTTCGTAAGCTCGTTCCCAGCGCAAAAAGTCAGCCAGCTTGCGGACGGCTCTTGAGAACAGGTTGGTCGCCGATGACCCTTGACTGACGAGGTCGTTCACCTTAAATAACAAATACAAAAAATCAGTTGCATCAAGGAACGTCTAAAAATTCCTTAATCGATACCAGAAATCATACGCACTTTAATTGGCATCTTCAGCTTTAGAAATTCTGCCTGGCGAGTGAGAAATTCCCATGGGGCATGGATCAGCACGAAGCAATGTTTCCTTGATTTGTACTAGAAGTATATTGCTATAAAAATATATGTGCACACAAATATAAGTATCATAACAGTGTGAAACGTCGAGTACTTTGTAACAACGACAACAGAGATATCCTTTATCAGTTCCTATTTTTACATAAACAAAATCATACGGTCTTAATAATCAAGGAAGAAATCAAAGAAGCAAAAGATTTGGCCTCTTTAATCAATATTTATCTGATGACAAGATGAAACTGAACGAAGGACCATATCCCGGCAACACTTAAAATAATCTTTATTCAAAGCCGAACCTCTTACAAACGTAATCGAGGCAGGCAATCATCAAAAGTAAGCGAGCACACTGTAGGATCCATTAGTTTCAACTATAACGACAACTATGAAATTCTGTCATCACGACTATTAAAGCGGCTCTTCCCTTAATGAGATTCTCATGACAACCCTTGAAAATATGAGCATATCACCCTCACCCACTATACGAAACCTTATCCATCGTAGTACGGTCAGCCGCAGCAGAATATCCTATGGCAATAGATGAACGTCTAATG